ACTGGAATCCACAAGGAGTTCATTTCCTACGGCAGTCGGTTTTCACATGCGCTTACCCGTATCGTCGACGGAACATCTCAGTAGCTTCAAGAGTACTTTTCCGGGTGTAGTAAACGTAAAGAAACGTCGACCAAACATTTTGTACCCTTTCCAAATAACTCGGCCTATGTGTGATATCCATACCCATCAATGACGGAATATATGACGAGGGCTGAGGAATTCCCAGCACCCAAGCCATGTAATCGCTGATTGGGCAACTGAAGTCTAAACATTACTTTCTCCATTCAAGAAATTTCCCACCACTCACCTGGACACCCAAAAATGAGATTTGATCCCCAGCACATGAGCCAGTCCGTTTCCACAAAAATTGATTTGTTCACCAAAAGTACGCATCAAATTTCTCAGCTCGTAAATAGTCCATCAGTTCCTTCCTGCTCAAGAGATCTCAAAAACTAACAATTATAAGTAGAAGATACTATTCTTCATACAGATTGTGGTCTAACCGTTACAGCACGTCTAGATCTCAAAGATTTGATTAAGTTACAGGATTTCACCACGAGATGGGGAGAGTAATAACAAATAGAGTTGGTAATGTTTGACTCAAAATACTCTCGAGGACAAATTGAAATGCAGCGGAAAAAAACATGGGGTGGGGGTTGTCCGGAAAGTACCTGCCGATTTTAACTCTCAAATTCAAAAGCGCATATGTATCTCAGTTTAAACGAAGCGACTTTGCTCCAAATAAGAACTGTTGCAATCCCCATGTTTTTGCCTACAAGAAATGAGTGTACTTGATCCGGATGTCGGAAGTGCTGGAGTTCTGTGAGAAGAAAGAACTCGGTGGAAGTCGTTTCACCACCAATGTTGGGTTTTCAACGCTCAATTTTTATATAAGAAGACCTTCCAGATGGCTAGAAAAGTGATGGTTAGCAGGCAACTGGTCTAGTGTATGAAATTTTGCAGCATAATTTCATAGTTCAGCTATGTAGTTCACTTGGAGTCCGAGATGGGGTTGTGCAACAGTGGGTAGACGAGCCAGCGACACCCAATTTCCGACATCTTGGACTTTTTACCTTCGCCACTATGTCTGGAAATCTGATGTCGGTTACGCCCAATACAAAAGCAGCCTGTTAAACAATTTCATGCAGATGCAGGTTTGCTCAAAACCTTCAGCTGATCTTATCAGTCTACATCACTGATCTCCTTCGAAGCTTTGTGCAAGAAAGACATTGTGAATAACAACTGCAGAGCGCATTTTTTGTGCACTTATTAGAACCAAATGCTCAGTTGATATCGCCACTTGCTTCCGCACATTTCCGAGCAAGTTTGAGAGGAAAAAAGAAACTAGTGCAAAGCAGGACTGTTGAGTATGTTGTATTCAAGACTTCAAAAAAAGTGGAAAAGTGATTCAGGAACGAAAGACAGATAGATTTTGATAGAGAAAGGAAACCGCGCTTTCAAATGATAAATAAAGTGTCAGTAGATTCCTGAAAGAGACTAGGAGATAAAGCATTCAAAAATGAGTTTTAAACGGCGGAAACTTCCCGGACAACCCAATATGATCTGGTGAAGTGGGCAGAGCAAGTTTTTTTCAAAAAAATGCAAAAAAAAAATTTCAGAAAAATTTTGCTCATTCGGAATTGGAAACTTTGTTCAAATAAACCTTTTAGTATATTTCACATTTTCACTTTAGTTCTTTTAATAAAAAAAACTTCAGATGATGAGGTTTTGGGAAACGCGGAGGTGGAAGTATCATTTTGCAGTGTAGTGTATAACTAAGAGAATGGCAAATGTTTCAGTTACACCCATTCAATGCATTTTTCGTGTGAAAACCTTCAAGTCCTAACCACCCCTCCTCTACAATACGCATCCATCCACGACCTCCTTTGAAAACACCAGAGAGGACATTACGTTGATCTTCACTCAACAGACAGTTGGTACCACTGGTACCACAGTTGCTTAGGAGCGTTAAAACAGTGACCTCTTCTTTGGCCCACCGTAGTTCACTTTATTGCCCAGATCGCATTCAAATGGCTCTACTGTTTTCAATGGAGATAGAATGAGCGCTGGGTCCCGAAAAGATGATCATCGCTAGCGCTTTACATATTTCGTCCTTTTTCAAATATAGCACAAGTTCCTAGTCTGGGATTTCCTATCCCAACTGCCAAAACTCTGAACTGAGTAGGTGCAAAGGTACCATGTGCGCACAGCCAACTAAAAACCAATGCCTTGCTGGTCAGTCACTAACACTACGAAGAACATGAAATAAAAAAGTGAAATAAAGATTCTAAAAAGTAATGATGATTTGGAGATTCACCTTGACATAGATTATTGTAAGCTCGGCTGTATTTCAGGATGCCTTGATGCTCGCGTAACACGGAAATCTCCTCGAATGCTGTTCCAGAAAACCCTTAAATGTCTCATAGTGTCTCTATTAAGTTCAATTTTAACGTAAGAATTGAACTTATTTACGCGAAGACTGGTACTCAGAAGAAGTGCGCAGAACACAATTCTCCAGGGAATCTTCGATGTTCATATACCTTCCAGCCCACTACACCCGGCCATCTTGCTTCAGTGTCCTGGCTACAGTATCGCTGCTATGAATGAAGCGCCATTTCTGTCTATTTTTATTTTTGTTTGTCACGAAATTCGAATGACCTAGGGAGGCCAGGTCACATTTGACAAGACATGGGTGAAGAGGTGCAACGATTGGAGAAGGGCGGGCGCTCCCGAAAAGAAAAGTGAAGCGCTTTTCTTTCTGTGCAAAGATTGAGGCGCTTTTTGGATATCTCGAAGTTCACAAGTTTACAACGAAGCACCTTGAAATTGGGAGCGGCTCCGATTTTCCAATTGTCCCGATGGAGCATCCTTCCCAATCGCCAGCAGGGTCAATCGCCAGCAGGTCGGCTGAGTGTATATCAAACAAACATTTTTCTTCCTGGTACCTAACAGAAAACAAGCCAGTTTAGGGTCCCACGCTGATAACGCACAAAACTCTTCGGCCGGTCCACAAACACAAACATACTCGGCATGGGTGCGAATTTTCTCGTCGTAAGCTTAAAAGAGCTGGGCCAACCAGAACAAGCGGAATACCTCATGTCTAACATTTTTGTGACTTTCGAGAGCAACGCATGTTCCGTTCCGGTCCTGTAAAGGCCTTCTCCGAGAAAATCTCCTGGTCAGGGTAACGGCGCCTAGATGTCGTGGTTGCCAGCCATTAACGGACGCCTATGCAAACAGGAACCTTCGCTGTTCATACTTCACTCTTTTCTTGAGACCTAATCTTGCCCATTTCTAGGCAGTAATTATTCAAGAACGAATGCTGCCAAGGCAAGACGAAAACAGTAAGAATGTCCCGATCATTAACTACGAGGCTCTACCAACAAACGTTCGGACTCTTTCTGGGGCGTGTCATTAGTATCGTTGCTTAGCTGTTACGATACGGCTATCTTTATCACTTTTTGGCCACCTAATTCACTATCACACAGAAAAAGCATTGAAGTTTTTTATGTTAGGAGCGGTTCCTCGTCCTGGTTAGGCTATTCTCGTTTTGTTGATGTGCCAACTACGGTACCATTGGAAACTACCAACAACTTCGATAATTATCCAGTACTCTCCATGTCCGCCATTCGAGCATTGCTTTGCATACCAAACCTGTGTAGAAGTTTAAAGGAACCGTTAATTGGAACGTGTTGCCCCCTTTTTTGGCATAAATGCGTTATCTATGGTCATCACGGAATATGGTTACCTTTGAAAAACTAGCTCCCAAAAGACAAACTTTGAGGACAAAGACACACACCACACACACCAGGGCGGCGCCAAGAGGACACATAGAATGAAACGCGTAGCGAGGCGGCCCACACTAAGTGACCCTTCACTAGGTAGAAGATCAATTTAATCTCCAGAATGTAGAGAGTAGAGACAAAATGTTTGAGCGCTTAGAGGCGACCCCGAGATTAACCCGACTTGTGGGAAGGATACCGTGGGGGAAATGCCTATCCAGGCCACTTCATCTCCATCGCAAAAATTGCGTGGGTGCTAATTCTTACGGGGTGGCAACCATCGACCCTAGTTCCAACGCTTCCCACCCACCGCGAGAGGTGGTGAGATCAGCGTGCATTGATGTAGAGATCAGCGTGCTCTCTCAAACGACGTGCTCTCTCGCGTATTTTGTCTTCTTTGACCGCCCTGTCTCGCCATCGTACCACATCCGACCTTATTGAAGGTTAAGGCCTTAATTTCAGCGTTCCCAAAGATTTCTCTTGCTTTCCTTTCCACTTTCAGGTCGTTCCGCAGCTAAGCTATCACTACGAAGCGCTCTTAGCACCAGTTAATCCCGGGTTTGCCTTTAAATCAGATGCAATGAAATAGTAAAATATTCCTCCATAATGGTGTAGCCAAAAGTTTTCCTACTGACGGTCCGCGAGTAACGAATGAAAGCGTTCCTGCCCTTTACATTTCTGACAGTTAGTGGGGTAATTAAGACGAGTAATAATCTTCTAGTTTATCAATTTCTTTTTGACTAACGCAATTTTCTTCTTCCTTCTGTGCTCGTAGTAAAGGATGGGTCGCAAGCCCCTGATTGCCATTGATAATCTATTGCACTTCGCAAAGGGCGACGAACTTTTGGCTCGTCCGAGCTGGCACGCGGCAAATTGCGCGGCGGGCTGCGCGGCGATGGTTGACGGACTACTTGAACCCGGTCCTTTAAGCCGCCTCAGATCCATCTCTCGTCTGCGCTCTCTCACCTTATCAGCGGCTCATGACCATTGTGATCTCACACATTCAAACTTTTGCCACACTGTAGTTGGCTCACCCACCTCGAAGTCCCTCCCTCCTACAAGGCTTAGTCCTAGGGCTCTCACCTCCTTCCTGGGATTTGGAGCCGAGCCAGGCGCCGTTCTCTAACTGTCTGTGCCCTCCGCCATTCGTGGCAGGACCATGGAAGAAAGTTCAAGTAGTCCGTAAACCCGCGGCGATTCGGATGAGACGGATCTTCGCGGGCTTTGCAGAGAAATTCAACACATCGAAGCGTGTGCAGACCACAGTAAAATCCGCAAGGTTCTGCGATTCGAATTACACTGCAAAGCATGGAATCTAAAGGTGTGGCAGTGTGTGCTAAAAAGTTTTCAGGAGGAGGTTGGAAGGAACATAGAGCCTACAGCCATCAGGGCGGCTCTTGCCTTGGTGGGGCGTCACTCAAATGGTGTGAGCAATGTAGCTGCGCCGAAGCTGGGCTTCAAGCAAGAAAGAAGGATACTGGTGGAAAAAAAGAGAAAGAGCCTTTGTGAGTAATTTGTGCTCTCCCTGATGTTTCTCTCCTCTCCTGGGCTTGGACCTATGTCACTCACCTACCATCGGCCCTGTTTCGTATGTTCCCCCTAAGGAAACACCAAAGCATGCATAGTTGACGCATAATAACTCTTCCTTAGAGGGATTTCCTAACTTAGTGTTTTTATTCGCTTTGATGACAGCAGTGACATTTCCATGAAAGTTCTTTCTCTCATCTCTTTGCGCTCACATCTCTTCACCGACGGCGCTGTATTCAAATATTTCAAAAACGGAACGTTTTTCCAACCGCAGAATCATGCGAAGTTTATCGAAAACTGTACACGCTTACGCGTGATTTCTATTGCGGCGAAGCCTTGTCTTGTGGATCGCCGCGCATCCCACCGCGCCATTCGCGCGTGCCAGCCCGGACGAGCCAGAAGTCCCGCACCCCTTCGGAAAAGCACACTAGACTCAGCGTAAAAGCTTTTCGAGACCTTTTGCTGCGCTCCCCTTAGTGGCATTGTGAAGGCCTGCATAGGCTATAACTAGTATTTTGGTAGAAATAATATATAATTTAATAATGCTAACCTTGTATGACATCATGCAAGGTAGACGGAAAGCCAAACACAGGCACTCTGCGAGCTATTCTTGCGCTTTGTACACTTTCAAAAATATTCAAGAAATCCGGCTCAAGCAGCGTCTGGAATCAATGACTACAGTGTAACTGCTGGAATCTGTGCGAAGAGTGGCGTATGGCCAAAAACTCACGACGTTGTGGCCAGCCTTTGCCAATTCATCGGCTATTCGTCCACATGAGATCATATGAGATCGGCTAATTGTTGGAGAGAATACCAGTATTTTATATGACTCGGCAATCACCACAAAACATAACAGAACGGAAATTAGCATATTCCCTACAATAGCTTCTTGCATGAAAAACAAATGCGTAGACGTAATAAGCGGTGTAAAGTCTGATAGACAGCAATCGAGCTAAGCAAGGAAAGCACCTATACCATCGAAATTTATCAAAAAGGATGACCGTCTGTGTCGCTAAAATACACTTTCGCGGGTAGTCTTATCTGCGGGTCACCATGCCAAAAACACACGTGTGTGATAAGAAAGGGGGCAAAAGAAGATTGAAAGCATGGTCATCACAATTTGGTTAGAATTTCGTAACGGCGCTCAAAAGGAAGTTTTCAATAAATTAGCGATTTCTGGCTTCTTCTCTCGCGCTGTCTTTGACGGATGAGAACAGCGGGCACAAATTTACAAAGAGCCATTCTATTGAGAGGGCGGAAGTGGTGTAGTGGCAAGTGGCACGCTTACCACGCGAGCGGTCCGGGGATCAAATCCTGGGTCGTGAGTCGCCCGGGCCAACCAAGCCTTCCATCCCTCCGGGGTCGGTTAATTGGTACCAGACTTGTCTGAGGATAAAAACACTGACTTGTACATCGGCTGGCCCCCGCAAGTCATTGTATAGGCCACATCGCATTCAAACGCCACTACGAATGTACAAATGGAAGTAGAATGCGTGCCGCATCCCAAAAAGGGATTGATCAACGGCAAATGCTTTATCCTTTTTTATCCTTTATTGAGTACATATCGCCTTTTTCCAATGGGTGGTCTTTTTTTCAGTCAAAATCCTTCGGCCTGGCCTCTTCCGCTCTAAAGCAGTGAAGGACTTTGATCATGCAGATTAGGAAGTATCTGAGACCAACTGAAGGATAATGGGTTGATCATTTGGCCCTAACAAAGCCACATTTGGAGTGCGCCATACATTCTGCTCACGTTCGGAATCGCAGTGAGGTTTGGATGCGATTCGACCTATGCAATAAATTTCGGGGCCGTTGGTGTGTGAATGATTTTTCCTCTAAAACAAATCCGGCACCAATTATTCATGTGGTAGGCTGGTTGGCCTGGACTGCGCATGACTCAAGATTTGATCCCCGAATCGTGCACGCTCCAGATGACGTTCAGTTGCCCTCGTAGGTCAAATCATCATAACTGCGCGATCATTGAAGCCTAAGGTTATGCTTGGGTGAAGGCTTATGTGTTATGCAACAGTGCTTATGCTCGAGTCCATGATTGTATCTAGGCTTATGGTAAGTCCTAGTTTGCTTCAAGCAAATGAGGAAGTAAGCAAACCAGCCCTTTTGGCGTTTCTGCTGGGGCCGTATGCTGAATGTTGGGGAGGGGATGGGGTCCCCGACGGTCGACGGCAGGGTGAATATCGGTCGAGGAAATCCTCGACAGGGGGGTCGTACCTGTTGGGCTGGGTCATGGGGGGTCGTACTCTTGGGGGTCAGTAACAGCAGTGGTATCGTGGTGCAGATAGGTAAGAGGGTATAGCGCAGCAGAAAATGAAAATATCTGAAAAAACATGATATTAAATTTTCTTTGCAGGTTCAGTCGCTCCATTTGTTCTTTAGGTTGTAGGAGTTACGAAATGCGTTTACTACAATGCAGCTTCAGTCAACTGGTCATGATCATATAACACCTTCCAATCGATTCCTG